TATATATATATATATATATATATATATATATACAAGAACGAAATTTGAACTACATCTGGAATATTTGTCACAATTGTTCCAAAGGTTTGAATGCCACTATTCTTATGTCTTTGAACAAATCTAAACAACCATACATTAAAAACAGCAGCTTCACATCTGTTTTAGATTAAGAGAAATAACCAGTCATAAGGTGGTAAGTTATAGTTGTTGTCCTTTTTTATTCTTCATGTTGAAGATGTAAAACATATGTTAAACAAAGTAGGAAGGCACGAAACAACATTCCGATGGTGGATGTCAATCTGAACTAGGGAATGATGGTGGTTTTGACAAATGTAGCAAATATATTAATATTTTTTTCTGCTGATTATACTGGTGAATTGCTTTTGAATTACGAGTAGGAAGGTACTGAGGACGACATCACCATATATGTAAGCGAAGTGTTCTGTGGATAGTACTATGAATTTCAAAGAGAAAGTCAATTGGGGAATGGATCTGTCATCCCTCAGATCCTCATCTCAGACAGCAGTTTTGTTGTGTGAATTTATTTTTCATTTATATACACTTAGAGTACTGGTACTATAACCCTATTGAATTTTAATACATACCTCTGATACCTTAGTTTTGAAAACTTCGTTAGATCCGATGTCTCTTACTAGATTTGTCATGTTTGATGAGACCATTAGACTCCAAGTGTCGTTTGTACTAGAGGTGTTTAGTGGGTATCACGTGTTGTGGAATAGGTTTAACCTCGCAGTCGTTGAAACACTCCATACCACCATCAGATTCGTTCAAAATTCTACCTTCCTAACCTCTCACGTGGGGCCGGCATGGCCAGGTGGTTAGGGAGCTCGACTCGCAATCTGCGGGTCGCGAGTTCGAATCCCCGTCCCACCAAACATGCTCGCCTTTTCAGCCGTCCCGGCGTTATAATGAGATGGTCAATCCAACTATTCGTTGGTAAAAGGGTAGCCCAAGAGTTGGCGGTGGGTGGTGATGACTAGCTGCCTTCCCTCTACTCTTACACTGCTAAATTAGGGATGGCTAGCGCAGATAGCCCTCGTGTAGCTTTGCGCGAAAGTAAAAAAAAACAAACAAACAAAAACAAAACCTCTTACGTGAGTAGTCTAGGCAGGTCATTTAACTTTTTAATTAATTTAAATACACGGCACTGCTTTTACATTTTATAAATGTAAAATGTTTATTTTTTATAAACTATGCCCATTCAAATATAAAATACCGAAATAAAAGGTTTCGTACGCAAAGCATGAGTTTTCGCCCTAGTTCTCAACATTCTATGTACAACTACCAAAATGTAAATTTTAAAACATACACTTAAAGCTGGACGTAAAACTGAATGTATCGTTTTCTATTTTTAATTACTGTAGTAGAATCAGTTAGTTCTATGGTTTAAATAATAATAATTCCAGGAGAGTAATGTATCTGAAAATTACGTAAAGCTTGGCAATTTAAAGATTATTGATCTTAAAGGCAAAATAGATAATGCCAGAATTATAAATGTAAATATGCAGCAATAACTGGAAACATTTGAGGTACTATTTAGTTTCTTATTTATTTATTTTTTGTCAAAATCTTCGCCATACTGTGAAATGATTGATAAAATAACACGCCAGTAAATTTCAGAATCCACGAATTAGAAAATGCTCTATATAACGACTAGACCGTTAATTCTATAATCTGTTTACATTGTGAGGACACAAATCACAAGAATAATTTAAAAATTCTGGTCACTGGTTATTCCACCATTAAGCTTTGATTATAAAACTCTCCTCATAAAAGGTATCTATCTCAGTTAAATAACTAAAAGAGACAATCCTTGAACTTGATATACAGTACTTAATCCTCAATTGCTACAAAATCTGCAAATTGTATTAGGAATTTCGATAAGTAGTTCCACAAAATTCCCTAATATTTGACAGCAATAGCCAAAGTAACTCAATAGAGTTTCCTCAGAGTGTAATTAATGTCTTACTGAAGTCTTGAACATTGCTTCAACTTTCAAATAAAATAAAACTTTAAGCCGCTAACTTGATTTCTGTAATAGAAAAATCATGTGTTCCTTTTCTGAAAAAACCAAATCCAATATGTACACAGATTGTTTTATCGTACTGACATTATATATATATATATATATATATATAT